CTCATTTCTCTTGTGGAGATATAAAAGGAGAGGGCTGAGAGGGAAAAATTAGAGGGGTGGGAGAACAAATGCTGTATGGAATTTGAGATTATGTATTTGGTTTGTGTGTTTCCCTCCTGTTTAAATCAAACATGTGGGGGCCGCGTAGCCCTGGGCTTGTTGCTGGTGACAGTTTCAGTGTTTCTAGACTTCTCTCCTCCCCCTTTTCAGCAGCAGTCCTGAATTGAGAAGCGGGGTGGAACGGGGTGTGGGCTTCTGGCGGAGGGTGAATTAAATAGTCACTCTCTCTCTCTCTCTCTCACTCTCCCCCCTTGCACTTTCTCTTTTTTTCAGTGGCGTTTAAAATCAATTCATTCAGTGGACTGCTGACACAGCCCGGCCCAGAGAGCCCAGGATTTATGGCTCCCTCTAATGGGCATGCTCTGAACCAAAGCCCTGCCGTCAGCACAATCCTGCCAGCCACCCATCCGCCCCGCTCCCTCACTCCATCTACCTTTTAAAGATGCAGGCATCCCTCCTCTTCCTTCCTCTGCTCCTCCTCCTCCTCCTCCCCCCCTCTCCCCCTGCTCGCATCGCCCCGATGCTGGCGGCAAAGAGGCCCTGCGAGCGCGCTCAGGATCCAACAAATTTATAACACGACGCAAACAACAGCATCTTCATTTTGTAACGCTGGGGTGTTAAATGCCTTCTCTTTGTGCTTCACGGTGATTAATATCAGAGGAGTTTCTCTTCCAACAAGTGGTGCTTTCCAGAGCGGTGAATAATACCTCGCTAACTATTATTAGACATCTATTAATATCTGCAGTAGTTCCCATAGCAGCATTTTATTTATTTATTTATTTTTGGATAAAGAGGAGCACATATTTTTCTGTAATGCAGGCAGACATTTGGTGTGGTGATGACCGAAGAGCACTGTGATTACTCACCGTAAAAGCAGAGGATTTCTACTTCTCCAAAAGGAAGAAGAAATAAACATGTTCAGCCTCATTCTTTTCCTCCTTCTAATCATTAAAATCCAAGGAGATCTTATCTAACAAGTGGTGGCTCCCGGAGCAGTATATAACGTCTCTGCATCCATTATCTCGTCTGACTAGTGGCACTACCTAAGGTCTTGTGAGTGTATATATATTCATGTATTCATAACCAAGTCTAGTCGTGTCACAGGATCTGAAACAATTTATGGCGCAGAGAAGAAAAAAAACATGATTGAAAACACTCGCCTGTGAACTCAGTCAGTGTAAAGGCATAAAAAAATGATCATGGCCCGAATTGCAATGACAACACCAAGTCGCTCCTGTGCACTTGATTCGAGTGAGTTGGCCAGTCTCTCGGCAGGAGGCTGTGCGCCGCTGCTTTGTGTTTATTTCTATGACAGTATGTCTGCGCGCACAAAATATGCCACGCCACTCTTGACCCCATTATATCCTCAGGCAACGTGGCAATTTGCAGACAAATACAGACCTTAACTTCAGCCCTGGAGCCTGCAACTTACATCCTTCTCCATATTCCAGCTCGGCTCCCGCAGCCTGTCAAGGCGTTATGGGCCCTGAATTAGCCTCCCATTACAGCAAGGCTCCAGCTTCCCCCTAAAGTTAACCATAACTGACCATTTGCCGTGGCTTCATTATAAAGCCATGCATGTAAAATCAAGTCGTGGTCCCTGGCCGTCACATTCGATTTCAAAATACAATCCCCAGCTCCCCCTCTCGGAATCTCCATCTTTCTCTCTTACTTAAGTTCAACCTTCTCCTTGTTTCATAAAATATGATCTGATTAAAATAGATTACACACCTTGTTAGCGGAGCGTTTCATATTTGATACAGTGTTGCTTTAAGATGGGCAACCTCCTTCATGATTCAAAGTGATTGTGGCCTTGTTCTCTGGCCTATTTGTTTAATAAGCTCTGCTACATCAGCGGGTCTTTTAAGTGAACACGCTCCCCTGCAGCGTGTTCACTTAAAAAAACCTGTAAAAAAAACACACAAGAAATTTTTTTTAAAAACGAGGAATCACGGCGGCCAAGGATTTTCTTCTTCTAAGGAGTGGGAGGCCAGATAATAAGCAGCAATCCTGACTGTATGAGAGGAAACCCAAAACAGGAAGCAGCTTTTATGCGCCGACCTGTAGGGAGAGCTACGGGTCAGCTGTGAAATATTCAGGCCCGATTAGCCCAACGCCGCTTAAACTAAAGCTTTCCGATCGTACGAGGTATGCAAATGGGATATTACAAACACAAAGAAGAAAGGCAGCGTCTTTGAGGGTAAATGAATTCATTATAATCCTCACCTCATCTGCTCGCTGATGGAAGACTTCTCGTGTAATCGCTGATGGGGGGAAACCTTCCACTGTACCCAGGGAGCTCAGATGTGGGAATAATACCGGGTCGGATCGCCTTAAAATGAAAATAATACTCCCCCATTTACCGTGAACAAAGTCCATGTAAGAGGGTATAATGTAATACTATGCTTGAGGAATGTAATTATCATTTAGTGGGTCCGTGAGCTGTGTTTGACAGGGCCTGAACTGCATGAAAAACTCATTTTCATTTTTCTTATTATATCATGATTATATAAACATTCTTAACCAGTGGCCACAGCAGCAGCAAATTATTGCAAATTAGCCCCATATTGCCAGTTTTTAGCGGAGGCAAATGAACAAGCACTACAACTCCAGTGTTTATTCCATAAATCAGCCAAACGCAGCACCTGTTGAGAATGTAAATAGCTGAGGCTATTTGATTAAACTTGCATCAAAACATTTGAAGAGCTCTGCTCGTTTTTGGGGCTGTTTATCCTCCTGTTTTCATCTCCACGTTAAGTTTGTTCTCTCCGCCCACGCCCGCTGCAAGCCGAGTTTCGATGGGCGGTGATGGGGGAGACATAACACCCACCAGCTATACGTGGGGTCACGGGAGGTCCGTCATTACCGAGCCACAGTGGTGATCACGGCAATAATATAGAACTATAACCGAGCAATTAGACTAATGGAAAACGTCCCTATTTCTCCCGGTGTGCTGCAGCGAGACGCGCCGCATGCCCCGCGGGCCCCCCGTCGAGATGAGGCTGGAGATATGAAGTGGAGAGGAGGTAATGGCTGGGGCCCATTGATCCTCGCTGCCACCTGCTATATGGCTCCGCAGAGGACGGGCGAGGAAGCTGAGAGCTTCATCTGGGGAGAGATCACACCGACTCCTGGGCTCTCAGGCATATGGATAAGAGTCTTTTTCTAGTCTTCCGCTACTTAACCAGCGCACATCAGCACAATATGGCCGGATAGGGTAGAGTAGGACGCGCATACATACAGCCTTTATCGCAGTGAGAAAGCTTTCACACCGAAAGGGCGTGAAGCTGTTTCCTCAAACTCTGGAGTGTTTCGCCCCTGGAGTGAAGAAAGGTGACGACCGCTGAAATAAAAACCACAATAAGTGGCAAAGGTCTCGCTCTCCTTTTCTTTTTTGTCTGCACGCAGACGAGTTGTTGCTGCGCTGTAAAGCCACAAAATCATCACTCATAATTTGTGTTCGTGAACATGAATTCCAGCGCTTGTAATGTGATGGAGATGCAAAGGATGCCTGTAGCGCTCGCCTCCAAATACGAGGTGTTAAAAAGCCAAAAAAGCTGGAGTCGGGTACCAAAACAGGTTTTCTCTCTTAACAGCTGTCACAAAGGTAATTGCTTTTAATTAAAGTTAGGAAATAGGCTGCTAACACACTGCACCCAATCACAGTTTGCTTTGCCTCACCTTCAGCACCTGATGCCACTGAACTGGACCTCTTGACAGCCTTTGCCGCGTCGGTGCCTTTGGGAGAGGTTTTATTGGAATGTGACGCTGACTTCTGTCTCCGAAAGGCAGCAACAAAGGCTCAGTGATATGACAGTGGCTTTATCTATCTTTTATATACAGCCTATTATATTTGTATATAATATGATCGCTCAGAGAGAAAGTCAGATGAAAGAGAAGCTCTTACTTTTTTCTCTCCCGCTGTGCACCACTCCGACATGCTGTTCATTTACCCGACGGACACAGCAGAGAGACGGAGAGAGCTGTTCCCGTGCAAGGTGAGCAAGACGTTGTTGTCAAGCAGGAGGACACTGTGCAGATTTGTTTTGCTAGGTCTTGCAAGTAGGAGCTAAATCTCTAAAGTTACAAAGTTAGCGACAGCGCAGTGAACTAAAACGTGGTGATCGCAGCTGTGAGCGAGAGGGGCGTCGGGTGGATGGGCTGAGATGGTTTATAAATAAAAAACAAATACCTACAATATTAATAAATGCCCTAATTCAAACTGACTGGTCAGGATTGGCATAGCAGACAGAGTGGCATTAAACAGGGACTTGTGACCCCCACCCAAGCTGGACTTTAATGCTGTACCACCCTGAGAATCATTTTATTGCACTCCCTGGTTGAATTTGAAGTGTGCTGCTTCCCTGAACATCCCCAGCTGCACAGTGCGTGTGCTCTGATACACATGAAACCACATCCATGACCTACGTCACAGACCTCTAACAGCCCCCGGAGTACATGCATACATCACCGGGGCGATGTGAGCAGCTGTATCACTGGAGAGGTAATCCCAGTCCCTCTTCTCTAGTAGCTGAAAACATTGGAATTTTATCTGTCCCTTCACTTTAGTAAAGTGTGTTTTTAATCAACATCAGAATAAGATGCTTTAAAAAAAATGTCACAATGAAAATAAAGCACTGAAAGTGTTCTTTTTTTCCTATGGATAATTTTTGAAGACAATTTTTTAAAAATCTGGTTTCGATCTTTTAGCCTGTGAAGCCAAAAACAGGAGGAAAAAATCCAAAACTAGACAAAGAATGTGCAGCATGTTCACAGTGATGATGTTCACAACTTAAACCTCTGCTCAGGAAAAGCTGTGGATAAATTACCTCAGTGTAAACTCCACTTGGCTATAAGATAAGATTAAAAAAAAAAAGTCAACCAGAACACAACAGACCAACAGGAGGGGGGGTCCGAAGGGGGTTAGTTAAGAGTCTGACCTGCCCAGCTGGGGGTCTCCATGTACAGGTGAAGCCGGTCGGCCTGGAGCTGGGTCACTCGACTCGCTGCTGTTGGCACAGGTGCTGATGAATCCTGAAAATGGAGAAGAGAGGAAAGCTCCTATTAGAAAACAGAGTGCAGCAGCGAGAGGAGGTGATTCATTTAATTATGCGCTAATGAAACAGGGAACAGAATTCAGCCGTCTACTTTTACTACTTCATACTAAAGCTGTCACAATATCACACTTTTGCTTCACGGTGATCAAACATTTCACAATAACAACATCGGTGTGACGCGTGCAGAAAATCTGAAAAACACAGTGAAAGAAATCATGTTTGTAACAGCAGATTTTCATCCAAAATCCAAAAATATATCCTAAACATGAAGGCATGTTTCAGGTTAGTCCTAACATGACATGTGGAAGAAGACAGGTGAACGCAGTCAGTGTGCTACAAACACCTCAGCGATATTAACTTCACCCATATGTCGACTACACCTGATGTACAGTGTACACTTACTTCACAAAGACATTTGGCTGGTAATATTTAGAGACTTTCACCTTTTTAGATAACATAATGGAAAAATTCACAGGGAAATACTTTTTTTCTTCAGGCCTGTAGAGCTGGATGGTTCTCACTGTGTGATGCTCAAAGAAAAAAAAATCCTTTGAAAACCTCAGCAGCGTTACTTTTTTTCAAAATCTACAAACCCTGTTGGGAGCAGTTTCACGCAGGAACTATTTTCTTTCTACCCAACTACACCCCCCAGCCATATTACTGTGCAGAAGGGGGCGTGCATTTAGCATTGAGTCCAGGCTTGCACTTCCAACAGAATGTCAGGATGTAGATGGTGCACACCTTGGTTTAGCAGCAGTGCAAACTAGCTGAAGCCTTCATTTAGTTGCTGAATGCAATCGGTAAATAGTTCCTGCATGAAACGCCTCAAAACAAGGTTCACGAATTTTTACCAAGCAGCTCAGTTTCATGTTCGTTTTTGGTGCAAAATCAGGCCAGTGCCATCAGGCTCTATTATAACCTTTCTACAGTCTCCAAAACAGGCTAGACGCATATATGCTACTGCAACTGAACTGTCCCTTTAATGGATAGTTAAAGGGACGTCTAGTTAGATGAGGAGAAGTGATTAGTTTGTCTCTGTGAAGGCTTAAATAAGCACCAAATCCTAGTAACGCCTTAAAATAACTAATAAATAAGGAGCATTTTATTTGTTTGACACGTTCGCACAACTTCCACGTAAAGACAATGATGTGTAGTTGTAGGGGCGTGAGCCGCTGGAGCCGTTTCTTGACATTTCGTCCTGCTGCGTAGCATCTCCAGCTAGCATGAGGTGTCAGATACAGTGAGGAAGTGCAAGTTTTTGTTTAGTCTCTTCACAGGTACAGTGGCACCAAACTTGACAACCTCACTGCAACAACAAGACTTCCAGCTGTTGCTCACCAGGAAGTAGTTATAGTGAAATCCATTTAAGTCGAGGTTTCTAAAGACGTCTCCTGTCACTCGCAATAAGTTGTGATGACGGCAGAAAGTAGCACTCTGAATTTAGCGATCAAAAAAACAATGTCGCAATTACACCGAGTACGTTTGGTGCATCGTTTGCAGAGCTGGTATTAATCACCGGCGCTCGATGCTGTCAGACGTTACATCCCGTGTGTGTGAGATGCAGAGCCAATACACAAAGCATATATATCTGAATGTTCCTGCATGTTTGTGCCTCAGTGGGTGACTGTTCTCATGCAGCAGGAGGTTTTTCTGCTGACTTGTGTATCTTCGCAGGCCTCTGGTTGGCTGTTGCCCAGAAGCCCAGCCGGTGAACCGCAGAGAAACCGCATTGATTTCATCCCAGCAGAAATCCCTTCTCCTGGTTCCCGCCTCCCTACCCCGCCCAGCACCTGATTAAGCATTTGCAGGGAGCCATGCCAACACAATTTGTCATTTATCAAAAGTAATTAAAAGCAATTTCTTTTCTCTTGTTGATTGGGAATTGACTAATTGTTGAGTCAGTGAAAACGGGGGAATAAATAAAACAGGGAAGGATGAATTTTACATAAACGCGGAGGAAAACATAAACGCTGTAAAACGAGGGCCAGACATCTGGCTCTGTGATTTCTCTCTACATGATTATGGCTGCAAAACCGAAACAGTTGTTTAGCGCATTCAGATATACAGCCCATAGGCAGTAAATAATATATTAGAAACAGCATATTGACTAGCTGACTTAAAAGAGTGTTTTCACTTCATGTTGTGTGAACACAAGAGTGGGAGGAAAATACAAACACTGGTTGGTTATTTGTTAACAGGAAAAAAATGAAAAACGCTGCTCCCACTTGTGCCAAAAGAGATATTTGAGCCGGTAAATACCAACATCTCAGTCTCGGAGAACCCCCCCAACCCCCCCAAAAAAGGGACGAGACACAAGGTGGAGAGAGGCTGGAGCCATCCCACAGCAGAGGTTACAGTACATCTATCCAATGAAACCAAGCAATACCGTTTCAACATTATCGGTAACAACCTCTGAATGCACCATTACCTTCTATAAGGGCAGAATGAAATGTCAGAATTGATTCGAGAGGGGAGGGTTGAGATATAAGTGGGCAGCTAAGGTGGCCATTTTGTTTCAGCGGCCCTACTCGGTGTCCCTGGATCATTAGCAGACGGTAAGAAAGAGCTGGAAGAACATGAAGGAGGTGTGGGTGGCCATCGCACACATCTCTGGTGACAGCATATGAAAAAGCAACCAAAAACAAACACACACAAACACACACACACACACTGACATGGCAGGAATCAAAGGGGGAAAAACAGGCACGCGCGGAATCGCTGGGAGTTGTTTAAAATTTCGCACCACTTTGTAAATAACTTTAACTGCACAAATACCTGGTTTCGCTCCGGGAGGATGAAAAAATTTCCAGCCAACAATTTATTCCCTGCCAACAAATGGCGCCGTTGCTTCAATGAGACTATTTGAATATCCCTTTGAAGGCTGCAGATGGACAAGCAATGCTATCATTGCCTGGAAACACAGAAATAATTGGGCAACAGTGGAAGAAGCCTGCATTCATGTCTCTGCTGAGACCCAGCTTGGAGTATCTAAATGAACCTCTCATTCTCCTGCCTTTTGTTTACGTTCCTATTTATCATAAAAACTCAATTACTTATGTTACCCAACATGTATGGTTATTAATGTTCTAATTATGCTTTTCCCCTCTAATCTTTGCCTCGCAATTTGGGTGATGTATGTTTGAACAATGCACCGAGTCCCCTGGAAGTGGATGCTGAATTAGGACTATGTATGGTGACAAATTAAAGGGGAAAGCCGACATCCAGTGTCTTTTAAGGTGCTGGGGCACCACTCGCTGCCCGAACAGCTTCAGTGCACCTCTGCGTCGACTCCCCATGTTTCAGGTGTTTTACTGGGACGAGCACGTTCTTTCAAATGTGATGTGTCGTCTTCATCATTGCTTAATGCACTGCTCATGCCAGTACAGAGGCGTAACCTTTTACAAAAAGTATTTACCTATTTAACAAGATAAAGTGGATGAGATTAAAACATACCATTTGTGCTGTCTGTCTTCACTCTACATGGACATCTTCACCTTTCTGCAATCCTTCCTGGCTGAAGAATTGTAAAATGTTATTACTATTATAGTTAAATAAAGTCAAATCTATTATATTACCAAGTATAAGCTGAAAATGTAAAGTGCTGGAGAAATTTCTAAACAATTTCTTCAGGAAAAGAAGCAATAAAACACCATGAAAACACCTCACCACTCATAAAACAATATTATTGGGAAACTGTGCATAAAATATCAAAATAAAAATGATTGTTCTTCAGGAAAATGTTCCGCATCAGTATTAAATTGATTAATATTACTGCTGCACACTGAGCTAATCTTAAATACTTTATAGTCTGTTTAATGCCCAGCATCATATTCTATAAATCATGTGTTTGTAGTGGCTGTCCTGTGAGAGCCACATATCTAGGAAACACACAGTTGTTCCAAATCACAGGTCTCTTCAAACAGTACAGTAAAATAATAATTTAAAAAATCAGCTAAATTAAAAGGCTGGATCAGTGTGTGACATGGTTAACTATTAATATCCACAGTGGATTCAAAATATAAATGAAAAATGAATGTGGAGTGTTAGCAAAGCAGGTGGTTAAACCTATTACACTCAGGTATCCTAGTAGATGCTAATCTGAAAGTGCTGCTGAGATTGCACCTGCTTAACTTGCCTGATTTATTAGCCCGGACATGGTCAGAGCTGCTGCCTCTCCATCATCGTCACAGCTTTCCTTATAAACGGAGTTATTAAAAAAAATCTCAAACTCAATCTTCTCTACATCATACATGTTAGCCAAAGCGGTTAACAAGGGGAAACTCCAAGGTTACGACGCTAAATCTCTGAAGCCTGTTTACTTACAAATGCTAACTACCGTTAGCTAATTGGCTAATGCTAATGTCTTAGCATACCAAGCACAAATCATAGCTAATCTCAGAGCAGTGAAAGCTGACCAGCAGCAGCTTGCTTCACACTCTGGTCTCGTCTCAAAGGTCAGAAGTTTATCCAAAACCACTGAAGGAAAAAACTACTAGCCTCGAGTTTACTCAGCTTCAGTCACGGACACGCCCTCAAACCTGACAGAGCTGCTTTCATGAAAATGAAATAAGCACAGCTTTCAGCAACAACATCCGACTGCGGCCACAGGCTGGCAGCAATGTAAAAGCTGGATTTACATATTAACTGACAGGCGAGGAGCTTGAAGTAGACAAATAGCTTTATTTCTAAAATACACATTTTAATGTGTATTTTTAGGCAAGTACTGCTTGCCTTGCTTGTTCTAACTAAATGCCACAATTTGACTTAATGGAGTATTCTTCTAAATCAGCGGTCCCCAACCCCCGGGCCTCGGACCGGTACCGGTCCGTGAGTCGTTTGGTACCGGGCCACGAGAGTTGAGGCTCAGGTGTGAAATGTATAGTTTTCAGGGTTTTTATCGGTTTTCAGCGTTATTTTGTTATCGTTTTTATCGTTTACTCGGTTTTCCTTGGTCTTTTCACATGTTTTATGAATAAA